GGCTGCTTGTAGTTTCATTCTATTTTATCTTCTCCAAATGAAAAATTTGCTCATCTTGGTCTGCAAATTGTCCTGCTGGCTGTCTCTTCCAGATGTATGGATCCTGATCTGGACCACTCAGGCACAGCCGAGCGCCAGAAGCTTGGTAACTTATACACGATTCCAGAATCTAGATGCCATCTTGAGACAGATCCATCCATCAGTGACACAATTCAAACGAGTTCACACATGAGTACTAAATACTACTAATGGTATATGCGTTTAGGGTTTGGCAGAGGGTTTAGGGTTTAGCGGAGGGTTTAGGGTTTAGCAGAGGGCTTAGGGTTTGCAAGATGGATTATGGTTCAGGGTTTAAGCCCTTTAGGGTTACATCACAATGTGTTTTGTAATTTTTTTGTTTGCTTTTCGGTGACAAAAAAAGGACGAGTTTCTAAGCTAGTTTTCCCGAGTATCATTGATTGCCGTGGCTTGCTGGTGCAACTTGCTCCTAATTGTTTGGCGTAAGCCAGGCCCACTCCAAAGGTCACACTGCAGATTTTTATTTTTTATTTTTTATTTTATTTATTATTATTATTATTTTTTTTATCGAGGGGTTAAAGGTTGAAACTTGAAACTTAAACTGCCAGCGCCTTTCCCCGCTAGAAAAAAATTAGAGTGGCGGTTAACACGGAGGCTGTAAACGGCTGGCGGCGGCGGCGGCGGCGGCGGCGGTGGCCAGATGCATCCGCGAAGCTTGGCGCACATGGCCCGCGGCCGATGTATGAGAAAGGTACTGGCGGTTTGAAGCATCTTCCTACCGTAGCGTTCTGGACTCTAGTCCTTAAAGTCTCCCTACTTCTTCGTTATGGTTCTGCCGTCTTCACCCGAATAGAACGCCCGGTCATTATAACCGTATTTGAGGCAACTTTCAGTCCAGACAGCCATACGGATTAGCACGAAATGTGAGGCTTTACTCTCATGGAGAACATAATGTGCCAAACTGAAAAACTAGGAAAGTCGAGGATGCATGACGCATGCCAACATCACCGTCCTGCCTCGTCCACTCAGGCCATAGCGGTGGTGCAGGTGTCGGTGCAGGTGTCGACTGTTCTCAATGCTTGGACTGACCATCACGGCAGAGTACGAACTTACAAACCTTTTGGGGTTTACATGTCAGCGTACATCTTCTTCAGCCACCTTGAGATTTTTTTTTAAGTTCTCTTTCCATGACTTGTTATTTTCACGCTTGCCGGCGACAAGCAACCGGACTGGTGCCTCCCCATAATGTAAAGGAGGTCTGTGTTTGTTAGGTGGGGGCGGGGGGGGGGCGCGGGGGGAAGACATTTCAGCGTGCACCAAAGGAAGGAGAAAGATAGGTCATTCAGTATACGCCGCTGGGACCTTAGGAGGTCACTTCTACAAGAGAGACACACTCCTCTGTTCTACAATTCTATGTCAGATGCTCATCATTGCGGTGTCTGTTTTTTTCCCCCTCCCCCTTTTTTAACCCAACATTTATTTATTGCCGAAAAACTGGATTGAGCATCCCTTACATACATGAATACAACCCACTTCGTGCTTTCCTCGGTTATCGCCGAGAAATCCTGAGATAGCCTCAGATCGGGGTATTGATTACTTCCTGAGACATGGGAGTAGGATTTACCTCCGCTCTTCACCCCTGTTCTTCCCAATCTTATATCAAAGCCATTCCTCTTCGGATGAACAAAATACGGAGGTCCACTATTGCAGTCGAAGGCCTAGAACAGCCCACAATGATACATCTGAAATTCTGAATGTGTGTTGACAGATAACACAAAGCCCACTACTCTGAACGCAAATGAAGAGTAGATGATACATATATATGCTTAACATGCTGAGACGTACATGCATGATAGCTATGCACTGAAGCCCTTACCTGGGATCCAGAGAAACCACCTACCTAACCCCATTTCTTCCTCCTTTCCAGTTAAACCACAGCTGACCTGATACTGCCTGCACCACACGTCCTGATGCCAAAACTTCACAAAAAAAGAAAACGGCAAAAAGGGTGACAGCGTTGACGTGTTGTCCGTAGATACTGATCAATGTATTTTAGGGAATCAAGCCCCGCCATGCACGCACGGCCCCGAACCGGTACCCTCAGCCACAGGAACGAAGTCTTGTAACCACTACGACCCCCCTTGGAGGTGTGTTATAACAACTGGATCCATTCCGGTCGTGATATCCAGCCCACCCTCAGGGCTGTAGCGTCCTTGCACTCACACCACACACACAACACAACACAACACCACGGACACGGCAATCAAACGCACACTCCGGCCCCACGTAATTCAGAATATAATTTTTAATAAATTTTTATGTCATTCATCTAGTTCCATCTGGATTGGAACTCAGGTCTGTTTTTCCAACACAGTTCACCAGTGTACCAACTAGGCTATCCTCACTGACAGATCCCAAAACTGTTTGGGTGAATTTAGACCCCCCTCATCTCCACTGACTTTTCCCAACCCCTATGGTGTGCCCTTGATACAATGCTTTCCGTCCGGTTAGCCTCTGACACTCTTTTTTATTCCCCCCCCCTCTTTCTTTTCGTTTTTGTGTCTGCAGGCCTGAAGAAGGATGCTAACGATGGGCGCGCATCTTCCTTTCTGTGTATGCTGGACAAGCTTCCAGAGATGAGCTCGCCGCCGAGTTACGTCCTCGTGGAGAATGTGGTTGGATTTGAGGTAGGTACATACGGAAGGTACGGTAAGCAGGTTTAGGGCTAGGGGTGGGCACAAGCAGGGTCGGTGTGAGGTAGGTAAGGTATCCTTCGTAGCTACGTAGATTCAGTACTGTTATCGTGTCGCCATATGAGGCTACGACGTGCGAGACTGGAGCTTGAGTGGGGAACCCAAACAAAAGTGCAAGAATAGGTAGGTGTAGGCGTATGATGGTTGCGATGCGATGGACGTTGGAACAGCTCTCTTTTGTCTTCGAACGCGTTGACAGGTTGTTGCTGGATTGTTAAAAGAACATCATAGTACTGATCGACAAGTGGTGCTGCCGTCTTGAAACCATCATGACCAAAATATTTTACCGTTGACCATTATTAGCGTTGCAGTCTAGGCTACAAGAGTGGCCGGGCGGGGCCAAAAAAAAAAGGATTTTTCAATGTTAAATTTTAGTTAAAATTTGGTAAAGAATTTCGGTGTGACCCTGAGGCAAAAGTTTTTCAGTTTTTTTTTTTTTCTGCATAACTGCCATAAAATAGATTTTTTAATTTTTTTTTGAAAATTTTTCGTTTTTTTTTTTTTTTTTTTTTTTTTTTTTTTTTTTTGCTGGGACCTTCCCTGGTCCTTGCACGGCCGGGCCGCCCGGGAAAACAGGGTGACCCGGGCGGCCTGGCTGGTAGCCTAGGTTGCATTACATTAATTACCTGGTATATCGTGGTAGTGTAAGCGTCACACCGGGATGGACAGTGCGGTATTGTCATTTTGTATCTGCTTCTTTTTTTTTTTTTTTTGTTTTTTTTTGACAAAAAAGGGCGACGACCTTGAGATATCATCATTTGAGCTGACTGGGCCCAGGCAATTGAGAAATATTTGGTTTTACTCGTCAAGTTCCATTCATCATCTGGATTCGATCTCGGGTTCGTATTCCAGCAGTTCATTTTTTTGGTGTACCCGCTGAGCTAGGCTCTTGGGTTTTCTGTATCTGTTTTTTTTTGTTTCGTCATCACACTGGGATGCCCATGGCATCCGTCGATATCTTCTTCCTCCATGATTTTTAATTTTTTACTAATAAGTCTTTCTCTGCAACAAAAGCAGTTGATGCTTATGGTTGTAATCGTCAGTTCATGATGGAAGTTCACCTCTCAGCCCATGATACAGTAAGATGAACCTAGGCGAAATACAGGCCTAGGGACCCTGGCAAGGAGCATAGGCAAATGCGGCTTCCCCCCCCCTTCTTCACTCTCAGATTATGATGTATTATGCCCCTGAACGAGGACGAGGAGGAGGAGGAAGAGGAAGAAGAGGAGGAGGAGGAGGAGGCTGGGGGATAATGTTTGCTCGTGCTGCTTGCCAGTGCCTCCAGGCCTGTATTTCAGCCACAGGTTCATCTTCCTCCCCCCTCCCCTGTGGGACTTAGAAGTGGCAGCACGCAACATTTTTATATCTATCTGTTGGTCAGGAGTTGAACCCATGATCTGCCCATCGATAGTTGCACGTGTAACCAACCAACCACATGGTGTTATGATCCTCGCTATTCCAAAGTGCAATAACACGAGGAAAGACAATGCTGCTCAGTTGCAGATGAAATGAAAGAACTTGGGAAGAGGAAGAGACAAAGGAAGAAGAAGAAATAAGAAAGAAAGAAGAAGAAGAAGAAGAAGAAGAAGAAGAAGAAGAAGAAGAAGATGTACACCAGCAGCAAAAGACCAATGAAAGATCCCCTTTCTCTCGCCAACTCACTCCATCCTCCTTATCTCCCCCAACCCCTTCATTCAATAACAAATAATAATAACAATAATAATAAAAATGATTGACTGAACCAGAACCAATGTCCGAATCTCCTCCTTAACCCCGGTTGTGGTTAAGCATCAACGACTGCCCGACAACCGATACCCTGAGGTGGGCACCAACGAGATATATAATATCAATACGTATTTTAATAACTCCAATATCTAATGCGGTTAAAAGAGGAGTATGGTCTTTAAAAACACCAATCTGTCCACCATTGGTCGATAAAATAATTTGTTCAGTTTGGGAACTCCAAACAATTCGATTAGGTGCCATTATACGAAGATTTGAAGTCATTAGGTTTATCACTCACTTTGCATTTGTATAGTTGCTGCTTTAGCAGTAGCTTCTTCTATATCTCCTACAAGATAAAAAGCCTGCTCAGGTAGATGATCTAATTCTCCCGATAATATCATTTGAAATCCTTTAGTTGTATCCATTAAGCTTACATACTTGCCAGGAGATCCAGTGAAGACTTCTGCTACAAAAAAAGGGTGAGAGAGAAAACGTTCGATCTTACGAGCTCTTGCAACTATTAGACGATCTTCTTCAGATAATTTGTCGAAACCAAGAATAGCAATAATGTCTTGTAATTCTTTATAACGCTGCAAAGTTTCTTTTACCTTGAGCAGTTTCATAATGTTCTTCTCCTACGATCCATGGCTGAAGCATAGTAGATGTTGAATCAAGTGGATCTACTGCTGGATGTATCCCCTTTGCAGCAAGATTCTGAGAAAGAACAGTAGTAGCATCTAAATGAGCAAAGGTATATATAATATATCTAGCCTGAACTCCGGGCCGCCCGGCGGCCGGCTCGTCGCCCGGGCGGGGGGCCGGGCCGCCTGGCC